ACAACTACTCTCTCGCAGACCGTGCGCTGGAGCCCACTACAGTGTGTTATAGGTGTAAAGAGCTCAGTAAGGAACAGTTAGTTTGATGTTACTTATGGGCCTTTAGCTTTCAAGTTTAGTGGCTTCTTTTGGTGTGAAAATGACTTTGAAGTGTTGAAAGGTAACTGAAAGCTAAAAACTGTATACCTTTATTAAGTGTGCACTTTGGGCCCCAAACATTGGGACTGGTACATTAATATGTATTATCTCATCTAATTCAACCAATGATCCCACCAGAAAGATCTTTTTCCTTTTCTTATTGAGGTAAAATTGGTGTGTAATGTTATATAAGTTTCATGTGTACATTATATTTCAACTTACGTACACACTACAGTGTGCTCACCACCAAAAGTTTAGATTCCATCCATCACCATCCATTTGATCCCTTTACCCATTTCTCCCTCCCCCAGACCTCCTTATCCTCTGGTAACCACTACTCTGCTCTCTGTATCTATGTGTCTGTTTTTGTTTGGTTTGGGGTTGTTCATTTGTTTTCTTTTGTTTTGTTTTACGAGTGAAATTGTACAGCATTTATCTTTCTCCACCTGACTTACTTCACTTATCCCAATTCCCTCCAAGTCCATTCATGTTGTTGCAAATGGCAAGATTTCATCTTTTCATGGCTGAGTACTATTCCATCGTGTATATGTACCACATCTTCTTTATCTAGCCATCCACTGATGGGCATTTAAGTTGTTTCCATATCTTAACTACTGGAAATAATGCTGCAATAAACCTAGGGGTGCATTCAAAATAGTCTTTTCATACACTTTAGATAAATAACCAGAAGGATCTTACTGTGGTTCCTAGATAAGGAAAATGAAGCAGAGGGAGATCAGGTGATCTGCCTGGTGTTATAAGGCATATAAGCAGTGGGGTTGGAAATGGAAGACAAATCTGTCTCATCCAAAGCCTGGGCTTTATTTCAGAGGGAAAGCAGGTTGGAGATCACTGCTTCTCCACCTCCTATTCATGGTTCATTGAGACAAATTCTGACTCTGTCCTGCTCAGGGCTCCACCTCTGGCCCATGCTTTTGTCCTTCTGTCCCTGTGGTAGAGAATTTAGGGATTCTTTCAACCCATGAAAGATTTAGACAGGAGAATACTAATCTAAAGACATATATAGTACTTAAAATGTAATAAACACAGACATTCACAAACTGCTCGTGTAAAACTCCTAGGTGAGTACAGTACTACATGCCCTCTCCCAGCACTCACTTAAATGCCAGACCCAGTTCTGGCTCATTAGTTTTCTTGTGGTATTAAATATAATTATGCAATCAGTGAACTCTAGGTATGTTAACCCATAATGATACATTCTTGATCGTGCTTGTCACACGTTTTAGTTGCTCATCTGACATTTATAGTAATCGGTGCATTCACTTGTGAGAGAATGTTGATGATTCATTCAGTCGAAACCACC